TTTTTTGTTGCATGACCGTCGGCTGCAGCTGAGTCACTAGTGACTACCGAGCTGTGCCGAGAAATGTTTAATTTTATTATTTTTTTCACAGAATCTGGTTCGAGCACAGGGCCTGCTTTTTGTGAATTTTTAAACGAGACATCTGGAGTAACGAGATTTGATGAAATTACAGTTTTAAGCTCCGATTTGGTTGAGTGTTCTGACTGAACAGCACTTCATGAGTGTGAATTGTCATAAATCCAACAATTCTTTTTTCTTTTTCCTTCCACAGTTTCTGCCTCTGATAACTGGTGCAATTTGGCATTTTCTGAAAAGAAAACATGCCTATCAAACCGAACGGCAGACTTTGACATTCAGAGGGATGAACAAACAACAACAAAAACATTTTATGTAACACATCGACTGTGTATTTTGCANTTAATTACTGGTCATTTTGAAATTAGAGCTGCAAAGACTAATTGATTAATCAGCTAGTTGTCAAATATTAAACTATTTTGATTCCAGCTTTTAAAATGTGAATATTTCCTGGTTTCTTTCCTTTCTTCTTTAACAGTAAACTCATGTCATCTTGGGCTTTGAGAAACAATCAACATTTTTCATAATTTTCCGACATTTTAGAGACCAAACAACAGATTATTAATTAACAATGAAAATAATCATGACTTACACCCCCAATTAAAATGTCAGTAAACCCACTGAACATGGGGATGAGTGTCAATCTTATCTATTTGATTTAATAAAAATCTTTCAGCACACTGCGTCTTATTTCATTATCTTAGGATGTACTGCGGTGCTGAATTAATTAGCTGATTACCAGAACTGTCACTTCCTCACCGTGAGGGGAACATTTGGGAATTTTAAGCTTTCGCGGATCATAATAAATTGAATAGTTCAGATTTTGGACAGTTTGTTGGCACGACAGGCAAATTAAAACATCACTTTGAGCTCTTCTCAGCTCACATTACTCAAACATTAGCTAAAAATGAAATAATCATTAGGTGGAGCTCTGGCACATTAAACTTGAGCTCATATGTGAACTGATACAAGTTGAAACATGAAGTTTCTCCAAATAAAACATGTTTGATGAAATACTTTGGACTATGTTTTCATTATTGATGAATGTACTGATTATGTTCTTGATTAATCACTGAAAAGCTTTAAAACGCCAGCAACAATGACAAGTTCTGATCAGGTTTTTTTTAGAGTTAAAGGTGACGATCAGGTGAAGAAGTGGGTGAGCCAATAGCTGAGTGGGTAAAGCGGGTACTGCACGGACAAAATAATATCGTCAGAAGGATCTAAAACAAACAAGAAACAGAAAATCCTCACAACTGAGAAAACAGAATCCATTCTTACTTTTGTATAATAGTTCAACTGTACTCGTCAATTCAGTCTCTCTCTAAAGCTCTGAAATGCCAAATCAAAAACTTTCAAGAAGAATACAGGAACCAGATGTAGAAACACTATTTTCACATACTTTTATTTCCACGGTTCTCCTCTAGCATTTTTTTTTTTTTTTACATTATTATTTTTTATTTTTTACATAAGAACAGACTGTTATACACAGATATTGAAGCGGGGGCAAAGGGGGTGAGGGAAGGAGACGAAAACCATACAAAATGGTGTCTACTCAAGCACAACAAAATCTATGTGTATAAAATTGTGTGGGTTGTTCCACTGTGGAGGCACCAACCACTACCTCAATCATTTATTTTATTTTTTATTTTTTTTAAATAGATTAATAAAAATACAATCTTTTAAATGGACCTTTAAAGTGGACTGCAAAATTAAAGATCTAGAGGCAAGATGACTGGATCAGTAAATGTGGGACAATGTGGGTCGATGGAGCCACGCAGGAAGGGAGGAGTCGTGTCCAGGTTCAGAGTCCCTCCCCCCTGCCAAAAAAATATCTTTTTATTTATTTATTTATTTTTTAAAAATGGCACACAGCAACTAGCGCTGGCTACTTTTTCACTTTTCACCATATAACTTGTACACTCAACATGATCAACAACGGCACACATTGGGGGAGGAGAAAGAAAAAGAAAACAAAAACACAGTCTTGTGTATTTTTCCGTTTGCCTGCCTTCCAGAAAAAACGTTGCTCTCCGTGCTGTAGTGCTTCCTTGTTAGACATGTTTTAGTGGAGAGAGCAAAAAGGGGGAAAGAAATAGAGATGAAAGAGTGTGTGTGTGTGTGTGTGTGTGTGTCTTGTGTGTTTGAAAGGTGAAGGGGGAAGAGAGCAGCATTGTGTGACAGTGGTGGGGACGGCTCCATGCTGACCAACATGGCGCGCCGTCCGTGTAACACGTACGGGTCTGTCTGCAGGGCCACGCGTCGGATCGGCAGAACTTCCTACAGTCTGCGGCCGAAAAACAACAAAACGTAACCACGCTGGCTTCGACCACGGCACCTTCCGCAGCGCCGCAACTCCTGCTGCGGCTCATAAATACTCAATCTACGGATACCTAGCTAGAACATTTTTCACTCTTGCATAACACGGAGACCACTTACGCACATACAAACCACCTATGTGTATCTCAGTTGACGACTTCACAGTCCACTATGACACGCCGGTCGACCGTCTGGCGGCGCTTCGCCAGACTGATCGATTCTCCAGTTTCAAAGCAGCACGGGGAGGTAACTGGAGGGCGGTGGGGGGAAAGAGGGGGAAACGGGGACAGCCCTCCTGGAGTCACAGAGCTCGGGAATGTCGTGTGCCTTCTGTTTTCTCTTTTTTTTTTGTTTGTTTGTTTGTTTTTAAAAAATAGTGTGTCGTTTTCAAATCACAGATCCGTTAAATAACCTGGCTGAGGTGGAGCGGGGCCCCCTTTTTTTTTTTCTGAGGAGCCAACATGGCCGCCCATTTGCTCAAGTCAGGGAGGTCAGTTACCAACAGCCCCCCCACCAGCAGCACTGAGGTCTGCTCTGAGGCCCCCGGCTGTCTGCCTGCCTGCTGGCCTTCCTGCCTGGCGGCGGGTTAAGCGGTTATCTTGGACTTGGAGGATGGAGCCATGCACAGAGTGGCCTGTGGGATATGTGGAGAGAGCCTGGAGCTAGGGCCGCCCGGGACCCTGTCATCTGTTGGCCGGGAAGTAGTTAGGGTCCAGGTAGTTATAGCCTGTGCTCTGAGGCAGGCAGTAGTCCCTGTCCAGAAAGGTGTCCGGCTGATACACCGGTTCCAGGTGGTGGTTCGGCTTGTGGGTCTCCGTCTTGAACAAGCTGGGAGGTGAAGGGAAGGGAAAGAAACCTTAGTCATGTGGGCAGTTCCACAGTCTTGTAGTTCAGTGGTACACATGAAAACAGAGCTATTTTACTTTGATATACTGGGCTCTGTTTTCAACATCAACACCTACTGACCCCGAGGACACACAGCATGCTTTGATGCACAACCTGAATACCAGGCACAAAACGGGCCGGTAACAAGAGGCAAGGCTGGTAAAAGTTTTATGGATTATTGTTTTCATGGTCCACCGGCCCACTGATGCAGCAGTCAAGAGTTCTTTTTGACAGGAACTGCTGTGGGGCCTGATGGCAACAAGGTCCACCTCAATTGATCCAGTTTTTACAATCTCTGCTCACCTGTGTCTGATTTGACTGAAACTTTTATAGCATGATGTATGAATATTTATAAAGATATTTCTGACATCTTAGATTGATATGTCAAATACTTTCTGATATATATATATATATATAAATTTCCCACTGACTCAAAGACAGTGATAATTTCAAGCTTTTATCTTTAATAGTTCCTGAGACATTGTTGCTCAAATTATAATGCGCCAAAAACATACTGAAAGTTGGTTGATTTGGAATTGTTCTAATTATCTAGAGAAGATTTATCTGTCTAAAATTTCACAGATACCATTTTAAGCATCTACAGTTTATGATAAAAAGTTTCAAGCAAATCAGAAATGTCGAGCAGAAGGCTCTTGATGATTTGAGATGCAACAACCCAGCAGGGTCCGATAGTTCCTGTCATAACATAGTGAGCACAATAACATAAAGGCTGATGCCCCTACTGACATACATTGTGGTAAGTTTTACAGTATATGATAGAAATGTCTCTGAATGAAATACCTGCCAAATAAAGACCTAATTTCATCAATACTTGCTGTCTACATATGAAACAGTTGACTCATTTGTAACTGGTTGCTCTGGTTGCCCGGGTAACCCTGTTGGTACCTTTCCCACTCTAAATGTTTCACTGTGAAAATGGCTACCCTGCGCTTCAACAGTGATAATTTCAGTTCACACATATGCGCGTTAGTAGCCAGATCAGCCATTTATGAACAGTCAAATAAAACCCTGACAGCTGTGGTGAAGCTCGGAGGTCAACCTGCGGAGGGCGGCTGTGTAACAAATGACTTAACAGTAAAACTGACCGTGACAGCTTATCTAAAGGACAGAAGACTACACAGTATGAGTGGTAGGTGTATCCTTCCTGGCCTGCATAGCTAACTAATCCACAGAGCAAAGTCAGAAGATTATGGTTTTGATTATTTTCCTTATACGAGTTGGGGGCGCGATTGTACAACTTCTGGTTTGTTGCAGAACATAATAATGACCTGCTCCTCTCTTCTCATGAGATTGAAGTGGTATGTTGTGTCATTGTGGGAACATTTGGGGAACTCAGTGATGACGCCATACGTCAAATAACTGTATTCTTCGCTCCCATTGGTAGTTGCCGTAGACTAGTTAAACCTAGTACTTGTCGAATGTCATAAATGTTACCAGACATGAAGTCAGAAATTAATCAAGCATAACAATCAACCACTAAGACTAACTTTTTTATTCAGGAAAGCAAGTAAATGACTAGAATTTGACATCTTGAGCAAGAAACAATAATGTGCGTTATTATTTTTTCCGTTTTGTTTTTTTTCCTTAAGTAAATTTTAAAATTAATAGACAACTATAATAATTAAATGTAAAATTTTCATTCGGGTTGAAGAGCTTCTACATACTGGTGGATTAACCCTTACAGAAACATAAAAAATGATTTCAGTAATTACCAATGCTGTTAATTCAGGGCAGTGGTGGCATAAACCTTACATGAGGGTGGTGGTCTAATAAACCTGCACACTGCACTTCATCATGGTGTGTTTCTTCCTCAGTCCTGATTGACTCGAACAGACAGAGTTGGAGTCACTCACCAGTCGGAGCAGTTGGAGCAGAAATCGACTGAGTTGTCTTGCGGACAGTCCTGACAGTGCCACCGTACTCCCTGGATGGGCTCCATACCGCAGACGTCACACTGCACAAAACAAACACACAGACACATACAACATCTGCGGAACATAATGTTGGAACAGCGTGAAACAGTTAGCAACTTCTTGGCCACCTCTCTTTTCTGCAAGTAACCCAAAATCACAAACCTCCGAGGGCTTTCCGATCCATACAGCGCACGACTATTTCTGACACCACGCATCTTAAAGCCAAACGAGGGATTGCTAGAACACAGTGTCACTAACGGCGTGACAATCAAACAATAATCTCTAATGTGGTTATTGCAGACGTCAATCAAGCTGCACACTTACAGACTAAGTTGCCAATTTTAGGCTTGAAAATGTTGCAGATAAGAATAAAATCAGTGCTTTTAATTATTTAGTGCTTTTTTTTATATATATTGATTTCCAAGCTGCAGTCGGAGCCAACGTTTTTTTCACAGCCTCCTCTATTTTTGTTGACACCTTTGCAATACTGTTTGCGCTGTTCATTCAGCACAATGTGAACATGTTACTTACTCAAAACACTGCTAGATGTGGCGTATAGTTCGCAACTGGGACACAATCTTCAAACCCTTTGAACTCACGGTGTGCTTTCATTGTTTCACATATATTAGGGAACGTGTATCTGTTCGTGCCAGGCTTCGGTGTTGTCACTGTGATGTGCTGAAGTGCAAAGTCTTCACCTTGTAGCCGACATGCTGCACCCCGGCCTTATCCTCCTGGATCTCCTGGAGCTTCTGTTTTTTCAGCCGCTTCAGCTCTAAAAGCTCTTTGTACTCTGGCAGATTTCTCAGCTCCACAGGTACACTCTCGTCGTCCTGGGTTTGTAGGAAGGCACACAAACACAGACAGACACACACACACAGGAGATGACTGATAGGCATCAGGACATGTACAGACAAAACATCCCTACATGACTCCAAGGATCCAATCTGATAATGATATTCTCTGGATGTTTTATACCCTCCTGACAAATACGCAGCCAGTATTGATCATTCTAATTTTAGCTGAACATGAGCAACGTATCCAGAAACACCAATACAGGTTTTCTTCTGTTTGGGCAGCAGTGTTGTAGGGAGCACAGATCGTCTTTCAGCCAAAAGTACGAGTGAATACTTGGTGTCCTTCACAAAGACTCTGAATGTCTGCTACTTTCTGCCACTTTCTTATAGGAGGGGGGAAAAAGTGCAATATTTTATTTTTTTTACAAAACCAGGTCTGGACAGGAAACGCTTCTGTGAGAGTCCTGCTAAGATGGCGACGCACTTGCTCTCAACAGACTTTCATTCCTTCCTGCAAACAGGGCCAAAGTAAAGGACAACCTGGTGAAGTGAGAAATTATTGTGGCCCATGCTGGCAACACCTTTGTGACTTTACTTCATACTGGCGGTGTCAGAGGGTTTGTTAACGCGCTGATGGAGACGGCAGCCTGTGTTCTCAGCAGGGCACAGCGACCTGGTTTTACTTAAAGGTTACAGTCATCAAAGGGAAAGAGAGAGAGAAATGTCAGCGCCTGGATAACGGCAAGCGTCAGGAGTTGCGCAGTTCAATTGGAAGGAGAGGCGAGGCTGGCCTGGCATCCGTACTCTGATTCAGTCATTTTCAATCGTGTAAGTCAGGCATGATTGGAGTGGGGAAAGAAGATGATCAAGGGCCAAATGCTTCATTTCATTCAAAGGTGCTGAAGTGGAGCTAAGAGGGACAGTCTGTATGTCAGCATGGGACAGGGTGGGGATGACGGCTGCAGTAATTTTGCTTTGTCTGGAGTGGATTTAAACAAACTAGTCGGATATAAAACAAGGCCCCAAAGGTGCATTTTATACAGCTTTTACTGGTCACTGCTTACGTGACGAGGTCAGGGTAAGACTGTGGACAGTGAAAGAGAGAGAAGGGAAGCTCCTAATTAGCCCAATTAAGCAGCAAAGTAGCAGACTCTGGTTGATTTGGTTGATGGAAAAAAAAAAACAAAATCAGTCAGATAGAAAACTGTACAAGATAACCTCCCAGGACAAATAAATGGAAGACCGACGGGCTTTCGAACAGAAACATAACAGATGACTGACCGAGTCATCGGCAGAAGGGTCCTGCACGCTGTTGTAATACGCCGCGCGCTCGTCATCTTCATCCATGTAGACCGGAGGCTCGTAGGACGTCAGGAAGGTGGACGGCCGGTACAGGTGCTTGTTAAGGTGGTGCTGCCTTTTACTGGATGCCTGAAGGACAAAAAAAAAAGAAAGAGTTGTCAGCCTTCCTCATGTATATAAAGGTGTCAACAACTCCTAATAGCTTAATAACTGTACTTACATGTATTCTTATTTTGTGGAAGTACTTGAGAGCAAAGTAAACACCAGAGTCAACTTCCTTATATGTGGTGACATACTTGGTCAAAAAAGCTGATTCTGGTTATGAACAGTTACAAGTGCAGGTATTCATTATAATCAAGACTATTATAAAAATATATTAGTTTTGCAGGTCAAAACAAAAAAGGCTGGCTAAGGTTCAAAATCGTTTCTTTTTCAACTACTTTGATTCTGATTCTGTTTATCTATTCCTTTCTAAATTATTCTCAGTTTGGATTCTTTGAGGCACTGGTGGTTGGAACAACAGTAAAATCCTGCATTACATTAATTCACGAGTAATAATAATCTAATGATAGAATATACGGTGTTATAGTACACAGACACACGTGACATTTTTTGCTTGTAATACCAAAGTATGTTTTCCTGATTACACAAATGCATCTTGCTTTAAGCATCCTTTTCAATGCAGGACTTTTACAGTGTGCTATTAGTAGTTTCACTGAAGTAAAGGATCTGAATAGTTCCTTCACCACTGTCCACGAAGCTAAACACACCCACAAGAATTATAGAAGTTAACACAAAGCACACCAACAGCCTGACTGCACGTCTCCTTTAAGGGAGTTGGTGACATATAGCAGTGAATTGTTGCGTGAAGTGAGTCTCTCCTAGTGTTTGAGGGAAGTATGTAAAGTGTTGCTTTAGTCAGTTGTAATTTGCCTGATAAGAAGAAGAATCACAGAAAACCTGTTTTTTGTGTTTGTGTCACAAAAGCAAAATAGAGTCCCTGTTCATGTGATGCTACTTCCTCCTGCATTCTTCACATGTGAAACACTACTTAGCACTGCTATAGGTGCTGGCAGAAACACAGAGCGAGACAAAGTAATTGTAACCATGACCATTGTGATCTCATTAGGTATATTTTTCATCTTCACTTTGGCTATTTTACTTTTACATTAGCCGAGTCCAATTTCGTCCTTGTAAAGCATTTCCTAACTGCCTTTTCTAAATGAAAGCGATTGTTACAAGCAAAGTACACAATTTGTACTCTTTACTTGCTAATCAAGCAAATGAGCTTTATCTGGGCTAACTGAAAATAGCAGTAGACTCATGACTTCTTCTGCATTACGAGATGAGAAGAAACAGGCAGTCAACTCAATAAAGTAATGGCGCAGACAGATGTCTGTAGATAAACAGTAGCTGTTTGCAGCACACTGCTTGTAAAATACCGAAAGGGAAATTTGTCTAGCAACCAATAAGCAGAGTCGAAATGAAGCTTTCCTCATGATGAATTTGGAATCAAAATTTTCTCGATGCCCCCTCCCTAGGGCAGGAGAGCATGGGTGAAACCAATATCATGTTATTAAAAAGTAATTTTAATCAATTTCAATCTGGCAACTGATTAAAAATAAGATACCAAATAATTAAAGTGATGCATGTTCCACTCTTATGCATTACAGTCTCCAAAAGTACAGCTGTAATAACCATGCCAAGCAAAACGTTCATAACTAGCCTTGTTAAAAGCAAACTGCTTGGTTGAAGTGCATTTTACAGCTTAAAATCCTGATTTGAAGCTTATTTTTGGCTTCACTGATACAATCAGCTGCTTTTATCTCATTCCAACTACATCAACATCAGAATAAGTAGGTGGACAAGTATGAGGCTGCAGCATAGAAATCACAAAGACACAGTGTTCTTGAGGCAAAACAGAAAATTTTGCCATTTCATTATTTGTCCACTTGAGAGCAATATAAAGCTTATTTTTGCACCATCACATTTTCCTACTGAATATATATTTTAGCCACGGGGCAGAAGTTTCACACAAGCTGTACACAAACCCATGTTCATATCATTAAAACATCATTTATTTGAAAGTTGATATATAGCAATATTAAATGAACTGCCCAGTCCTAGCTTTAATATTCATGAACAAATCTAGAACTTTAAATGAGACTAGTTAGTCACTATGATTAAGGGGTTCGGGAAATGAGTCGGAGTTACCTTTTTAGTGTACATGCACAGGTTGGGTGTTCTTCCGGGCACAGGGATACCAGCTTTTGTCAGTTTGATGAAGTACTTTTGAACCCTACTGGCAACCTGAAATGTTTTAACAGGAAAATGGCGGCGTTAATCATTTCCAACAGAGAAACAGCTGCTTGAAGTAATTGAGGTCATGCACATGCATCATCCACAGGGTGCAGTTGTTGTACAAATCAGTTTGCCTTTTAACACAGACACACTTGCAGTTATGCGGTATGTTGCATTTTGTTTCCACAGTAAAGGCAGAAGGTTTTGTCAGAGTCACAACAGGGTAATAAAAACAAAAGCTCTAGACAGAATAACCGGTTAACATACAAGTAAAACATACTGTTTGGCTGGTAACTTACAGTTTTACCAAAATTAGCTTTTGTCAGATGTAGGCCATGTTGAAAATCGTTGCTTCTGTGACAAGTATGCATTTTTTTGTAGTTAATCTTAATTCTGTTTGTCACCTGTTTTGCAGTTCGATTGCCCAGCTCATCAGCAATTTTCTGCCATCTTCTGGACTCGACTTCCTCGGGAGGGAACTTGACAAGAAGCTGCTCCAGTTTTTTCTATGAAAACATACAAAACATTGTGTGAAAATCATGGACGGACAAATTTTGTGACTATATGAATAAGAACTGGATCAACCCATATGTGTTTTTTAGGGCCAGTATAGATTACCAGTGAGAATTAAGATAACCATATGTCTTTGCAGGAAAACATTAAAAGTTATGTTAATAATTTAAAAAAAAAAAAAAAAAGACTCCACCACAAAATGTCTTCAAAATTCCTTTGTTGTATATGTTTTACACAAGTTTAATTAAAAGAAAACTTTTTCACATTTATCTCTCAGTGTTGATTGCCTATTACTCATGTTGTGTAACCATTCAGAAAGTGCTGTGTGGGGCATAGCTCAACACTGAAGACGACAGATCATCAGAGCCAAGGTAGACGACTTAAAAAAATATATATATATATACATATACATATATATATGTATATATATATTAGAAATCTGTTTAAAAAGAAAAAAACATCACTTCACGAAAAAATATACCACAAAAGATATAATTTGAAAAATACTAGCTCCAATCATCGAACAGTCCAAATATTGGCCAATCCCCAATTAGTAATACTCTACTATCTGCAATAATGTGATTTATCACAACACAGATTTGTATAAATAAAAAAAAAAAAAGTGAAGCACTAAGTAACATGCATGTTGGTTTTTAATAAACAAAATGTTTCTTCAAGTCAAAATGAGAAATGGTGTCAATTAAATTGGAATCCACAAGGACGGTCTTGAGTGTCATCAAATGTTCTTTTAAAAACCCAATTGAAACAAACAGTTCCTTTGACAAATTATATCAACTCCGTAAAATACAGTGCACAACTGTACACTCTTACTACCTACCTGTTCTTCCACAGTCCACAGCTGGTTAAATGTGTCAGGCTTGTTTGGGTGACAAATCCTCCCCCTGATCATCTGTCAAGAGCACACAAGTGGCAGGCATGTTAGAAGACTGACACAAGACAAAAATAATGGGCACGGCACTGTTTGAAGAAGATCTTTACATATGAAGCTGCCTGGCACACTGAATGCGTCAGTTTGACAGAGAAAGCCTGGCTGTCAGATGTGACTCGAGATGTGTCATTGGGAGGACGCAGAAAAACAAGCACCTCTTTTTGACTGACAAACAAAATCCTGTTAGAATTCAGAGAAAGTAGACTGGGAAAATGCTAATGTGCTTGCACAATATAAACAGGGAGAGCAACAGAAATAATCAAGGAGTTGTTTGCTCGGTGCTAACTGCTTTGCACCGTCTAATCCCAGCAATCAATTAAAAGTGAAACCTTGCTGCCTGTACGATGTGGGAAAAGAGACGCACACAACAGAGGCCAAGAATAAGATATAATCAGAGGGGAGGGAGAGGCGTGCTCCTCATGTTTCCATAGATACCATCTTTTGTGTTCGCATGTGCTGCATGAGGACTAAGAATAAGAGAGACGAGGTTGGAGGAGGTGTAAAATGGTAATAACCTGCTGATTTGTAGGACGCCATGCAAGAGATTGTGACTCACCAGCTACAGTTAGAAACGGATGTCAGTGCATCTGCACTAATGATATACCGGGAGACAATCGCAGCTGTGATGATAGTGCTGGCTTGTGTGTGTTGTACAGAATATTTTAGTGACGAGACATACCTGCGTTTGCCCGCCATTCTCTGGGGCATCACTCATAGGTAGAGAAGAGTACATGGTGGAGGATTCGCCTTCCTTCTTGGGCTCAACAGGACTTTTTGGTCGAAGAGGCAAACCTGAAGCGGAACAACAAAGAAGTCACTCAGGCGTTTCTTTTGATAACAGGGCAGAAATATGTGCAGACACAAATCACAGTCAATTCTAAATTCATACATGCCTTTATCGAAGATCAATTTTAGCCGCCTGGTTTTGCGTTTCTTGTCGCAGAACTCTCTCTCAAAATCACCGAGGCCTGAGGTGTACTGCTCCCAAGCAATGTCAGGGAGCTGGACAACACGCTGAGGACACGGTAAGCCCAGATTCACCTGAGGGTCGCCAGAATCAAGGGTTAAAATCTACTAACAAGGGAATAAAGGGTCTGCACTAAATTTACTGAAGCAAATCTGGTCAAGTCAAAACAGAAGAGAAAGTCAGACCTACTTTTACGTTTTAGGAAAGTGTATACTTTCTGGGCATGCTTTGTACTCAGTGCTTTTGTAACCTTCTCTGCTATTAATAAAGTCATTCAAGTCAGCATTTTTTTTTTCTGCTGGACACTCCCATCCTTTGTGCATGGCACTTCAGTGTTTCAAGGGCCCAGGTCTGTATTTCTGTTACCCTTTTCTGCAGCTGCTCCACAAAGCTGATGGGATCGGCGAGCGCCTCCCTCTGGTGTCGCGCCAACGTCTCCAGGTCCAGGATGGCCTGCGTGCGCTGGGCCTCTAGAACTCCGATGGTCTGCAGCAGTCTCTGATAACTGTCACACAGGGAAGCAAGGTTAGACAGGAGTAGAAGGGAGGCACTGCTTACATTATTTAACCTGACACTTGCAATGCGGCAGTACATCAAACTTTTAGACCACAGGCCATGCATTATTCAAGCATGCTGGGAGCCTAAATAGTTGCAGAAAACATGACCCATTTTCCAACATTTTCCACCTATTTTGCAAATAGCACGTTTACAGGTGTTATGACTCCCATCTTTACTGCAGCTGGAAATTATGCATCCTCTTAAACCTGCTGCATGGCAAATACCTAAGAGTTACTTTTCCAAAGTAGCCCATTAGGGACTGCAGCTATGCAAAGAGAAATACACTACAGCACCGGTGTGATCTGTAACTGTGTGCATATCTTATATTTCACAGCAAATATCAAAATCTTTGAATGACAAACACTTTGGTTTTGCAGCACTTGAGAAACCCTCAACACTGTAAAACTCTGACCTTTCCACTCACTCTCTCTGAGGCCACAGGAGAACTGCAAACTGAGCTGTCAAAGACTAAATGTGGTACTGACTCAGAGGCCTTACAGTGTGAGCAGAGCTGGAGGAATCGACAGGAATGTGACAGCATCCTACATGGCTATAACCTAATGCAGGTGCTCAGTGGAGCAGAGTGGATCAATCTTTCCTAACACAACATGAATGAAAATCAATGCACAGGACACAATTTATTCGATAGCTGCCAGTGGTTTAAAAGTCCTACAAGCGAAACGCTCTGACGAGTCAACTGCGTTTCACATCATGTGCGGCTGTTTGACTCGTACAGCATCCGTTTGTAATATGCAAACTAAATGTGCCTCCGCAATAGCGGCACCCAAACTACTACTGCACATATCCTGTGCTACAGGGTGACTATGATTCAACGTAAGATCTCTGGAAAAGAAAGCAGCAAGCGTGTTAACTTCCTAGGATGAACAGATGATCTGTGCATTAATCTGTTTTAGGGAAGGGAGGAGGCCTTGGCTCTGCTTCTCAACACTCTGGACTCCCTCCAAGTGTCCAGGGACAAGTCTGGTGTTCCATTGCCACCTACTGGGCCCCAGGTCCACTGACAAACTGTGGTGCCAAGTGAAAAGCTGGCTGAGACAATAGTGTAGCTACATTAATGCCTGATAATTAAGAACTGCTTATAGTGATAAAGACAGGACAACATTTGTCAAAATCCACAAAACTGATGCAAAGATGCAAATACTAGATGTTCTGTATACGCAACATCAATCACGTCGGTGTCAATTCTCCACATTCAGCAACTCTAAAAATGCGCCGTCATGCTTCCATAAAAATGACTCCTGGCTGCATTGATCGGAGGCTTCAAAATCTTCCTTACTCAGCACAACCAAACCTTGGCATGTCACAGAAACTTGATCGAATTACCTCGTAATACGAGAGCAGTGAAATCTTATTCGAAAGCCACTATCCGAAGTTGAAACATTCACCAATGCTGGTGTCAAAGACAAAAGGACCTCAGCTGATGATGTCTCTAAGCCCCTAAAGCCCTCTGCCCCTCCTCCTGTGAAGAGGCATCAAAAATCAGCTGGCCTGCCACAGTGCAGTTAGTGGAGCCTGACTGAGTGCAGCGTGGGACCGGTCCACCAACACAAACATCCCATCTTGCATGACAACTAACAACAAAACTACAAACAAAGGTCAAGTCTTCTCCTCAAACAACTCATCCGACAAAAAAAAAAAAAAAAAAGAAAAGAAATAACAGAACCAATCAGCACACTAATTTTAACATCCAATCTCCTCTGGCAAGGCTTTGGAAAACTGACAATTGGCAGTTAATTCACACAATCACAGAACCAGATTGAAGGTGGAAATTAAATGCTGAAACATGTAAAACCTAAACAATGAGGCAGGAGCTATACTTAGATGCTCACCAGTACTCCCTGAATTACTGAGAAAAGACTCCTAAAATAACAGAGATAATTAAACATTCTGTGCATGTGTGGGTGGTGCAAAGAAATAAGCTTCTAATGAAAATTCAGTGTCTCTTTCTTCTCACATTTGTTTTTGTGTGTTTCTGCTGACCAAAAAGGCTAATCAGTGTTCTCTTTTCATTAGATTTACATCAAACTGGAGCAGCTACATGGTGCAATCACCACAAATGACTAAAGGCTGTTTTCCACTGCAGTAACTTGCGTATTTAGCCACAAGAACCACCCTGACAGAATCTCTTTCATGTTATGTTACAGGCTAACATTAAAAAAACATCCAGTAACTCCAGTTTGTCGTGGTTTTGGTGCACTCGAAGTTGTTGGATGCTACACAACAGAAACAGAAAGACTGCAAGTGTCAATTAGGGGGTTGTTCCTGTGAAAGTCTGCGCCACCTCGCGGACACCTCAAGTTTCTGCAGTGAAACGTTGCCTCATAAAACACTGTTCAAATACAACAACCTTCTAGGCAGGACACAAGTTTGATTTTCTCCTTCAGCAAAACATTGTCAGGGTGTGAGGATAAAGCTGCATGGTCGTGAGCAGAGCTGCAACAGTAAATTAGTTGTCAACTATTTTGATAATTAAATAAATGGCTTAAGTAATGTTCTAAGGAGAAAAAAACAAACAAACAAAAAAAAAAGACAAATTCTCAGATTCCAGCTTCATAAATGTGAAAATTTTCTGGGTTCCTTTTAAGCTATGACAACACACTGAATAGATTTTTGTTGTGGACAAAACAAGTCGTTTGAGATGATCATTTTGAGGTTTGCAGCCCTGTCGTGACCTACTTAACAAAGCAGGAAGAAAAAAAAGAAAAATGTTGTTTTAGATGTTTTCTCCCTGTAGCCCTGAGAAAGACTGGCAGCCTGTCCAGGGTGTCCCCTGCCTTCGATAGACTCCAGCCCCCCTGCGACCCCAGCAAGGATTAAGCGGTGTATAGAAAATGGATGGATGGATAGATGGATGGATGTTTTCTCCCTCTCATCTTTGTCCATTTCCTAATGAAATACTGGAAATGTTTTTCCTCTAACAGTTTTTCAAATGCAACAATCTGAGGTTTAGAGGAAAAAAAATCACTATTTGCTTTAGCTGCTCACAAGTCAGACACATCCATCCTGTAAGGAGAGGTAATAAGCAGATGCTGCTTCATTTTAAGGCGTCACAAGCCAAACGGGTTAGGAACCACTGGTGCACACAGTGGTGCGTATGGTGAACACACAATGAGGCTGATTTTGATATGTAATAAATATTTACTTAAGATTAAACTTTAAAAAATATACTTTAGGTGCAAAGTGTTAAGCATTTCCCAAACATCAGAATATCCTTTGAACATAGAACCCTTCATCACATCAAATGCATATCTGGTTCATTCAAAACCACAGACTAGAAATAACGCAATGATCACAAATACAGTGATCAACATGTGTGAGAGCTACATCAACAATGGTTTGAGAGCAGAATCTTTTGGGAGCTCCCACATACTCTTTGTTGTGTTTAAGAGCCAGGTGGTCTGACTCAAAGTAATACACGTCTGGCTCCTCCTCTTCCTCCTCCTCCTCCTCCTCCTCTGCAGCCTGGCTCCGTGTCAGCTCCTTGCTGCTCTCGGCCTCTTTGCCCTCCATGGGGCCACCGTCCTCTCCAACTGCCCTGTCTCCAGGACTCACAGACGCCGGCTCCTCACTGGAGGGACCAATAGAGTCTGAGGGCGCAGGTCCCTTCACCGTCGGACAGTCCTCCTCAAGCCCAACCACGACCTCCCCCTCTTCCCTCAAGGGACCATTGTCTCTGGGAGGAGAGCCGGGCTTGGAGGAGGAGGCTTTGCTACCAGACACAGCCCTTCTGGGTGAAGTCCGCAGGGTGTATCTGTGTTCGTAGAGCTCTGTGAAGGAGGGGGACGTGCTGGATATTGAGGGGTTGCACCCTGGCTCTGTGGGGGAGGGGGATGTTGTTAGTGGGGGTGTAGTTTCTCCTGAGTTGCTGTTGTTGTTGATTGGACTACTGTTCATGTTAGTGGTAGAGGAGGAGGTGGATGGAGCAGCTTCCTGCACTGGTGTTAGCGGTCGGCCATTGGTATCACTCTGAGTCTCCGTCACCTGCTCCTCATGGGCCAAACACAATGGGTCACCCACCACGTCAACCTCCATCTCCTCCACCTCCTGCTCCTTGGCCACCATCAACTCAGGGACAGAATCCTCTAGAGCACCCTCAAACGTTGGTGCAGATGAGGCTGGCGATTCCCCTGAGCCAGAGGCCTCCATCTGCACAGGGACAGAGTTTCTACAAGGCACAGCGGGGTCAGGGGATGAGGGAGTCCCCGTCTGACTGCCATTGAGCAGCAACGGGAAATTGGTAGCAGAGGTGGGGTCCGCACTAGGTTCTTCAGTAAGGGTACAAGATTCCTCTGCTTTGTTTTCTCTGAGTCCATTCGAGGCCTTGTGAGCATTCTGTGGCTGAGTTACCCCGTCACACTCCACGTGACCATCCTCTGCCTTCCCCCCTGTCAGCTCACCTTCCTGCTTACTGAGGATGGGTGAAGCAGGAGCTGTGTCAGCAGAGTTTTGGCTGGGTAATTCTTCACAAGTGTCCTTTCTAGGCTCTGGGACAGAGACCGGACTTTCAGGTTTCGGAGGCTCAGGGTCCTCCTCCTCCTGTCCCTGAGACTCTCCAGAGCGGGAGCACCGCTTGGCCCTTTTGATTTGAGGAGAGGCACCCCGCGCCCCCTTTCCTCCATCACAGTTCTCGGACTTCTCTGGGCTAATGTCTTTTCCTAAACAGGACACGCCCCGTTTCCGGGAGCTGGTCCATTGATCGGCCTCAGCGGGAGAAGCATTGGAGTCAGTTACCTTTCCCGGCAATGAGGCCTGTTGCTGGCCATCTTGTGAGTGAGTGACCTGCTTCTCGTCCTTATTTGTGTCCTCTTTAGCTTCCTGCTTTGACTCCTGCTTAACATCTTGGTTTGAGTCCTGCTTGGTATCCTGTTTGGTGTCCTGCTTTGATTCCTGCTTGGGGTCCTGCTTCTTGTCCTGTTTGGTGTCCTGCTTTGACTCCTGCTTGGCGTCCTGCTTCGACTGCTGCTTGGCGTCCTGCTTGGCGTCCTGCTTCGACTCCTGCTTGGCGTCCTGCTTAGACTCCTGCTTGGCGTCCTGCTTAGACTCCTGCTTGGCGTCCTGCTTCTTCTTGGGTGAGCGGGCCCTAGGTAGCGGAGACACGGAGGTCTCCTCTGGCTGGGCAATGCTGCGGTTCCTGAGGGTTCGACCACAAAAGTTCTCATCCAATCCATTGAGCCCCACTGATGACCTTGTGACGCGCGAGGAACGGGACGCGGCCATACTACGGCGGGTGCCTACAGTCTCCTCATCCTGGTGCTCTCTCCTCTGCAGCAGAATGTGGGCACCTGAAAGACACACACAGATACAGATATGCGAACCTCATTAAGTCAATATAATGACTGAAAACTTCCAACATTTATAGCTCAATGATTACATTGTAGCTTCAACACTGCCACAACTACAGGTATGATTGGTGTCACGGGCCGGCTGTGCTAAAAATGAATGCATGAGCAGTATCCCATGGTGTCTCAAACAAAAGCGTCTACCAAAAGGCCTTTGTTAAGTACTGCTCGGGTCATTTCTCAGCTCACACCAGAGGGGTATTGATTTCTTCTGTCATTGTAGCTAAGCAACACCTTCTGTCCACAGGCAAAACTAGATGTCTTATACCAGGTCTGTACAAAGGAAATAAATTTAGAAAGTGGGAGATCTTACACTGCCAAAAGACACAACAGGAAACAATGAGGTCAGATTTTCCGTCAAGTCTAAATGACCAATCACATCACCGTCACAATCACAGTTCTCTTCAGATATTCATAAATGGCACAGCTTCAAGGTTCATCTGTGCTTGGTAACTCGAAAAATAAGGTGAATACAGCTCAGGAAGCATTTTAAGATGAAAAGAACCCAAAGCAGGCAAGCAGGTGATTTTCAAAAAGGTGAACTACCTGCCTAAAAACCATTTATAATGTCATCACCCAGGATGTGTATGCCTGTTACAGTGAGGGCCCATTTTATTTCCTCCCTGCAGAGATTACAGCTTTTTCTGTGTAAAATAAATGTGGTTTACTGGTTGACTGATTCCTGACACAGAAGCCACACTGTAATTCTTACATCCAATTCAGCAGAGATAACACTGCAGACAGAGGTTTGTCATCACACCGTAGGCTTTTTTTTTTTTTTTTAATCTCTTTATAACAGGTGTGCCAGAGGGCCAACAGGCTACAATCCCTCCAAAATTTATCAGAACATACAAAAATTGAAATGTTCCAAGAACAAGAATTCTACAGAGGACATGACAATGAACTTCCTGATGCAATTCAAGGCACAACAAAGCCTCCCAATTCCCACTCAGTGTGTCGCCACGGTATCCTGCAGATGAAGATACACGAGTGTGAATTACAACGAAAATCCTGTCTTATGGTGTGCACAACAAAACTAACACTATCTAAACGCTGCATAGCACTAATACGTTGTCAAGCCTTGATATCTCGATGTATACTAAATAATCTATTTCACACATGGATATTCTTCATCCACCACAAAATTTAAATAACATCTATGTCATGTAAACACCATAAGCAGATTACTTTACTCACATAACATTAAGGTTGTCAGTGAGGCAAGCATAACTTGATTATCAGAGCTGGGTTAGTCATCAACACACATACATACATACACAAACAGAGCCAGCTTAATCTGGCTTCTCTCAGTATTACTGCACATCGCATAAAGGTCATAAAGTGAAGTGCACAACAGCTATGTGGTATGTCATATTTGAAATAACAAATCAAAAGATGCAACTTATATTAGGCTGCTTGAGACAGTTATAAAAACAAAGCCAATTCATTTTAATTCCGCAATCAAACAACTTAATAAACAACATTCAATATCTTAAACATTCATTAGTTGTAATGCAGGTGCGCAGGACTTAGTACGTCAGGTTAGTGTGCATGAGAGAGATTTTAAGATCACAAAGAAATTCCTGTCTTGGTTACGAGACAATCAATTCCCAAAAACATTTCCAGTCAACACACACACGCACACACACACACACACACAGAGGAAACTTGCCACTGAAGTATCCTCTAGATCATGATCCAACTAATAAATCTAACAAAGAGGACAATAAAAACGTGACGTGGTAAAGGTCATATTAAAGTGACATTCAGCTGAAGATGATTTCACTGGATGTCCTTTTGCAGAATATGAGACATACTCACAGCCTTCCAATGTAGTGAGGAGAAATATTGCATCAATTAGCATTGTGGACAAGGTGCTCATTTACATTAATTTCAAGTACATCAATCTGTGGGCCGACCTCTGTCAAAACTGATTTAAAAGCTCCTTGTTTCAAATGCCGGGACAGTCCCTCCCTTTTCCTACACTTTGCTAACACAGCAACATCAAAGCCAAAGGCTACCCTGGCTACAAATACGTTTTGATAATATTTCTTAGGGGAGCTAACACAATAGTCACCTGGAACAAGCACCACCACATGCACATATTACTCACACTCCACTAAAGACTCCAGCTGAGAAAGCTAATGTGATTTGTCCATGCATAAAATAAAAGAGAGAGAGAAAGAAAAACAGAAAGGGGGGAGCAGGGGGGAAGGTTATTCAGACTGAGCACTCACCCTTAGACTCAACACGACAAAACTAATTAAGCCGGCTCATCTGACCTGCTCCCAAAAACTAGAAAACTAATCACGACATCAAAATAATTAGGGTTACAGTTGAGCTGAATAACTATAGGAAATATTTGCTCACACTTGCTCGTCCCAATAATTAACATGTTGATGGCTTCACTGTCGGGGCTTTGATTATTAATTAATAAATAAGTCCTAAGACTGCATTCAGCTGCCTTTTGGAAACGGCAAAATAAGTTTTGCACCCCATAAACAGTAAAAAAAATAAGCTGTCATTACATTGTAAATCTGACTATACTACCTAAGCTCAAAGTAATGTCAAACATGCCTAGCAGAAGTGTAATGACTGGAATGTTGTATAATAAAGAGTGCGAGTGGCTTGCATATTTCACAGTCCACACTGTTACTAAGTAGGTACAAAGGGACTTTTTCTGGAGGAACAATCATTAAACTCCTTAAATGACAAGGGTCTCCTTGGCTGCAGAGCGTGCAGCGAATACGCATTAAACTACTCGTCACAACATTGTTTCCCCAAAGTATGCACACTGTGAACATTAAAGCATATACACACTTCAGGCCAGTCATTCCAAACCTGGTAAAGAAAAATCTGAGGAGTTGAAAGAGCATCAAAAGAGACCAAAAGCATAAAACAGATATATTATTGTTATGCAAAATACGGTTTACTTCTCTGACTTTCTTTAGTTCTTGCATTCCTGTCATTAAACATTGGATGTGTTCAACTCTTCAGGCCTAGAAAAGAGCTTCAAAAACAATCTGATAATCTGATATCAGAGATAAACCATGCTCATAAATCTGCCAGCACAGAGGCCTTAACATCTGACTAGAGGTCACTTGTAAACACTTTGTTGGTTTAGAAAAGCTTTGAAACCACAGCTTTACACCAAAAACCAGTTTGTAATTGCATAGTTCAGGCTACTAGTCCAAAGAAAAACTTAATATTTGAGTGTGTATTCATGATGTCATATATAAACATTTAACTTTGGTAACGTAACAGAATACAAGCACTGTTAAAGTTTTCTGGATCTTTCTGGAGACATATCAGTTCATTAAAACCCACAGATGCCACGGTAACATAGCTGGGTTTGCCAATGTTCACTGCAGTATAACCACAATATCCCAATGTATAGCTAGTGAACCTGGCAAGGTTGTAAACTTATACACGCAGATGGGAACAGTTTTGCCATAAATTCTTAGAGTCTTAAAGCCAAGTATGTTATCAAACAGTGCAGCTACCTAGACAGCACCCATGTGCAACTGTAACTCCTAATCATTTCACTTTCTGTCCCTCTCTAAGGTGCTTGTTTGGTTGTGAAGTTATGTGAACATGTGCTGATTTGACTGCATTACTATTACGGTGTCAGACCTGGAAAAACAGACGGCTGTTTTGGCATCGTAAACAAAACAGTGATTTCATCAGGATATTAAAGCTAAGAACTTTAACTATGCATAAGTAAACACACACCTTACAAGCTAACTGTGAGGACAACTGCTGGCAAACCAGCTAAGCTAACGTTTGCAATTAGGGTATCATTAATTATAAATAAATAAAATCCAGTTTGTGACCACGGAGCTTTGGGTTATTGATCCAAAGAAAAATGTAACATCCATGGGTGTATTTTGCTTTTATATACAAACATTTAACAGCGTAACTTTTACTGAACAGAATACAAGCACAATTTAAAAAGCCCTGATCTTTCTGGGAGTGTATCAGTTCATTAAAACCAACAGATGTTAATTAACCAGAGCAGGGCTTGCCAGTATTCACTGCAGTATGAATACAATACACTCATGTATAGCCAAGGTTGTAAACTTCTGCTCACAGATTAAAACAGTTCAATCTTAAATTCAGTCAGTGCAGCTACCTAGACAGCACCCATGTGCGACTGTAACTCAATTCACTTCCTGCTCATGCCTAAAGCGCTTGTTTGGTTGTGAAGTTATGTTAACACGTGCTGATTTGACCGCATTACTATTATGGTGCCAGACCTGGTAAAACAGATGGCTCCTTTGGCACCCAAACGAAACAGTGATTTCTTCAGGATAATAAGGCAACAAACTCCAACTATGCATAAGTAAACACGCATCTTCCAGGCTAACTGTGAGGACTATTGTTGGCAAACAAGCTAAGCTAACGTCCAAGTTTAGGGTGACAAATTCGTTTTATGACACACAAACAAGCTTTGTGCCGCTTTACCGTCGTGCTGGGCTGCTCATCCCGTAGCTGACCTGTAGTTCAACACTTCCACACGGCCTACTGGCAATAAAAAATCCGCGCAGTGGTGCTGCTGTACATACCGATGAGAATCGCTCAAATCCCAACATCCCGGCTAATCAGCTGCCGCGAGCTCACAAAGTTGGAGGCACGAGGATGCTGTTAAACTAGCAGGACCAGGCGGCGCAGCAGCACGTGCCGCCGGTTAAGTTAACGTTAGTTTGCAGCAGGTGAACCACAAAGTTCACCATTAAAAAACTCAACACACACACACGTTAACTCAAAACACCCGGTTAGTACCCGCAGCTGGCGAGCAGGCTAAACGTTAGCAACTTCACAAGCAAACCTTAGTTGACCTAGCATGCCGTTTAGCGGGCTAACCTTAGCAAACTAACTTACCGTTAGCTCTCGGAGCTAAATATAAAACATTAACGCTTCAGACACCAAACCGCAGACTGTTGCACCAGTGGAATTAAAATATTACCTTACACGCTCCCTGTGGCACTCTGCAGCCCAACCGAGCCATTTTCCCGTCTCTGTTGTGATCGACTAGTTAGCCAAGTTGGCTAACGTTACCTTCGCTAGTTTTTCTCGGCTAGTTTTCCTGTAAACTGCATCGTGCAAAGAAGAATCGTGGCGATTTCAGCTGAAGCCCCTCTATTAACGGGCACATGCTAGCTAGCTAGCTCGAAAACTGACACAGACTCCACCACGAACACAACAAACAAATTGAGGGAATTGCTACTAACATTGTGTTTCGCCGAGGTTTATATCTCAACTGCAGCGCAGTGAGAGGAGTAGCATGGTTAGCAGCCAAGCAGTATAACGGCTGCTGGTAACCAGTTAGCAGCAGCGGCTAGCCGCAGCAGTCTGATGTTAGCTAGCCAAGCTAGCTGATTGTTCCGCGCATAACTTTGCCGATGTATTTGTGTACTGCCAGCAATGGCGGTCACACACATTTTTGGTGGGCTAATACATTCAGGTTTTGTTATTTGCTCTACTACAAGCACCGAACTGGAGGTACACTTCTAAACAGCTTTTGTAGCTCAAGAATTACACATACCTCACTTCCGTAAATTTGCTGCACGTTCGGCCGCAGCCATGTTTTCAATCCAGTCAACTAGTCGGGGTGTGTGAGCCGACTCAACCGCTCTCGTCAAAATGCAACACTATCCTGTACATTTTTGCCCGTGCCAACCGTGCAACCGGTCACACACTACCGATGTCACCTTGCCTAATTGATGGCTGTTTATTCATACTTTTATGACGGATAACACACATCGTAATTTACTTTTCCTTTCCTTATTTAACCCCTCGTTTCTCATGCGCCAAAACAGCAAAGAGTGACACAAATCAAGGGTGTTCAACATGTTTTCATCAAGTTTTAATAGTGTCAGCCAGCAAAAATCAGGATAGATCTTACTCATATGCAAAAACTTGAAGTACAGCATTCTGTTGACCCCCTATCAGTCAACACATTAAGCAACACCATGCCCATACACAAAAATAATGCCTTTAATTAATTAGATTGCTGATGATGATGCTGATTACATACTACAATATGCTTTCTGCAGCTGTACAATTTAGTGAAGAGAGATCCGGATTGCGTGCACATTTTATGAGCAGCTTTGCATTTACATGCAGATACATGTGATGTTAAACTGGAACTGAGTGTTAAAGCATGCATTCTTAACAGAGTCTGCCTGCCATTTTCAACAAAAAAAAAATCTATCGACATATTACCCGATCACTCCCTTCTGTGATAAATACCCAAGTGCTGAATCTTGACCAAAATACTATCAGTACTGGTACATTCAAATACAAACCAGACATTTGCGTGAGCATGCCAATTTGTACGTCTACAGAACAGTGCAAAACACAAAAATCATTCCTGAGACTAGTCAGCTTTTAGTCCCTTCATAACCTTTTGATTTTCATCACTTTTAAGTGTCACATTTTGCTCTCCTTGCCATTCATCGGACAATATTCTCTTACAACAGGAAAAATGTGTGATATATCTACAGCAAGATGTATTGTGATTCATCAATATCAGCAACACAAGACACATGGACATACAATATGTGCTCATTTGGTCAAGAAAAAAAAAAAAAAAGAAATATGGCATTCAGTGGAATTTTTAGCTGCACATAATTTAAATGCTTGGTTCTGAAAACAACCTGACACATGAATACTACAGTGCTAATAGAAATTTAAGAGCTCTTTATACAGATTTGTACAACATGACAAACCTTTCCAGACATGTTAATTCCCCTCTGTCAAAGGCTGTCACGTAGCAGTAAAGATGAGGTCCTTAGCTTGAATGCTTCAAAACTAAAAGTCGAGTGCAAAATAAAAGGCTTTTTATTTCTTAAACGTTTCTTTCGTTGTTTGCTGTCAAATGCTTGATTTAAACGGATCGCGTCTCCACCTCGATCTTCTCCTCCGACTGCGACGAGTCTGCTTCCTGGTGGCTGATGCTCGGCCGAACCGTCACCAGCGGGCCGCCGCCATAGATTGAGTGGAGGAAGTTCCACGTCTCCTCGGAGATCTGTCCGGAATCTGCTCCTGTGGGGTCATTGCAAGCACAAACTTAAATACATTGGGACTAAATAAAGTAAATATATCTCTACAATCAAAAGAGTCTCCACAAGACCAAAGAATATTGTGTTTAATCAGTTCACATTATGCTTATTTTATGCTTTGTACAACCCCTAAACAAAGAATTAGACATGTATAAGACAAGCAGAGACAAAGTAATATCAACAACAATAATATAATAATGTTTGTACCTTGTTTGAGCGTTAAATGGCCATTCTTGTTTACTGTTATCTTGGAATTATCAATGGGTCCCGGTGGATCTTTACAACAAAAAAAAAAAAAAAGAAAAAAAAGAATTACTTGTCCAATTATATACAGCATTTCTTCAGAGATATATTCTCAATCTAACTGTTTCAAAGAGCAACGATGTTAAAATGTCAAATGTTTTTGTCACACACTATAAAAAGCAATTCTGCTCCCCATTTGCTACAGAGAGAAAACAAATATTAGAGGAGCAGAAGTCAGAGGGAAAAAAGACGTTTGCCGACATGCCAGATGCAAGCTGTTATAAATAGATATGACAATACAAAGCAAGGGAAGCCAAAAGAAATGAGAACAAGCGGAATAAAAATGAAATATATTCTGACTCTTCATTTTGCTCTAGCAGCAAAGAAACCAGACTCGGGGGACCAGAGCAAGTTCTTTGAAGATGAATCAAGAGGAGAAACGGGACTCCTCAGTTTCTTTTGAACATGAGCTGGTCACCAGAGAATTTAAATTTTCAACAGAAAAACAATGCAGTTGCCGTTTTTTTTTTTTCACATCCATAAAATATACAGAGATAAGTTTTAAAACACAAATGTGCATGAGAATAAATAAATGATAAATCACCAGCAGATATGAGGTGCAGTTGTCACATGGGAAACATTGAACATTTTAATCAGACATTTAAACAGGGCTGGGGGGGAGAGAGAAAGAAGGCGAGACTTCTGTCCAATTACCATTGTCTTTTCCTTTGACAAAGCCCTCCCACTCACGAAACCACTGCATGCTGATGCAGTATATGACCACCGGAGACTCCTCCTCCTGGAACGCCTTGTTCAGCTACAGAGAGGAAGTGGGGGAGGAGTGAGCAGTGGAGACAAGAGGGAGGACGCAAAGGGATGGGGAGGAGAATGGGGAGGGGGTAGGTGGGGGGGGCAGAAAAAAAAAAAATTAAGTGAGGATGAAAGGATTGAGAGGAGAGGAGATGGAAAACCTAATCAATTCTCTCTGGTAGTTATTCCAATTAGAAGGCAGTCTTAACACCACACTGCACCAATTTCATCTTTCTTGGAAATGACACAATCCCACTTCTTGTTAGCTGACTGAAGCTTTTTCTTTTGCACACTCGCACAGGCACAACATTTATCTCTCCTCTGAGCAGCCATTGTGTGAGTGGGCACACCGAGCAGGCAATAACAGCTGCATCTGTCCCAATGCATTAATGATAAGGCTTTCATCAGGCTAAAACCTCTCATCTCCTGCCGGGGTGAAGAGCCCCAACACATGCAGCCTATCAACTGGTTAAATAGACAAGAGAAAAGGCTCGCGCACACACACCCATGGCTGCACAGAGGCTCAATGACACACAGCGCATTACCACTCGCACCAGTTTTGTCTTCTCCACAGCTCAGACTGTCAGGAAAAAAAAAAACTCTTACCCTGACAAACATGTCCAGCTCTGACTTGCGCCGCTTCTCCAGTTTTTCTATCTCAATCTGGCACGTGTGGCAAACGTACAGGTGGTTGACAGCTGGTCCCCCTCCGTACCTGCAGGGAACAGGACACACAAACTCACGCAGATGAAATTAACTTCACAAAAAGGAAATTATACTGCGACTGTGGGATGTGGAAATATTTAAAGCCTCCAGCTACTCTCGCAGTCGGCCGCTCTCCTGTACGTACCTGCTGTAGAGGTGATCCCACACGTTCTGTGGCAGCATTACCACCAGGTCATCGATCAAATTGGCTTTGTTGGGCGGCACTCCTGATGAAACACAGCAAAACCTCCATCAGACATTCACAGCTCAACCTTTGGCACGTGGAGACATCTCACATAATTACACAGTTACAGATCAGTGTTACAAAGCATTGGTGCTGATTGTATGTTAATTAAGACACGAATACACACAAATCCGTCACACCCATGAGTCCACTGTGCCATGTGTGTGCTTGACAATCCAGAATTAAAATTGCAGATATTAATAATGTCACTTTGACAAGCTGTAAATAAAGTGTGACATTCCAGTCTGGATTTATATTCAAGATACCTATAACATCATTCTGACTGGTTCAACATATCTGTAAATCGGTTTTGACCAGCCAGAATAATAGCTGCAAATATCTCCAACATCATTAAGTCTAATTTGTTGTCTGTGATGTTGCTCCCGTTGAAACAGTGTTAGCAGAAATCATGGCGGCTGCTGTGGTGGATAAGATTGTAGTGAAATCTGAAGAACTTATCAGTGAGGAGTTTGTGCAGAACAAGAGCTTTGTTCAGGGTAAAAATTAACAAGCGCTTTTGCCTCATGCTGGCGGTAAAATGGTTGGTTAAATGGTTGTCATATGCGGTCGCAGTTTCAGTGCCGTAGTAAAAGCAAGCCGCCTCCACCTCCTTCTTCTGGTAGCTTCTGACGTCTAACGGCAGATATCCGCGACGTCATTTAACCGGGTCGAAACTCTAATTCAGGATATCTATAATTACATTTTGACGTGTCATAATTCCAGTTTGACATCTGCATAACGTCCGTCTGACCGGCTAAAACTTAATTAAAGATATTGAAAAAGGTCAATGGACATAGCTTGAATCGAGGGGAATAAAAGATATCTTGAACTGGAATTATGACCAGTCAATATTAAACTGTAGATAGTCATAATGCAGGTGCGACTATCTGCAGGTGAATTGTAGATATCTGTAATGAGAAACCCCCATATAAATGAATGGTAAAAGGGATGTCATTTGTGCTAGGAAAAATGATGATGTGGATATCTGAAATGACAGTTTTGGAAAGGAGGAACTGAATTACTGATATCTGCAATACATGTCCAGTCTAACAATTAAATGTTCCAACAGCTTCCGATTGTTTCCTCTAGCAATAGATATCAATTATTTTCCTCTTTGCCCCTTTCTTCTCCTTCTGTAGTG